TTCAAAGCTTGGGTGTCCTGCAGGGCTGCCAGGTTCGCCTGGACCTCTGCAGTGTGCGGGGACAGCCCAGCTCTGTTCTGGCGGACTCTGGTGGAAACCTCATCAGTTCCTGTGGCTTGATACAATATGGAGCTCAGGCGATGATTAAAATTTATGGCCAGGCACGGTGGCTCACACCTGTAGTCCTAGCCTTTGGGAGGTCGAAGCAGGAGGATCCCTTAAGACTGGGAGGTCAAGGTGCTGCTTGCCGACTGTAAGACATTTCAGTCTGCTGAGGGTATGTGGACACTGTCTGATCTATTCTTGAGTTAATGAGCTTATGTTCATTTTAATTAGAAGGCGGTGTTTGACGGGCAGTTCTTGGTGACGACGGTGTTCAATTAGTGTTTCTTTCTGGGCAGTAACTTTTGCCTGCTGAGCCTCCCTCCTTTGTGGGCCAGACACAAGGAAAAGTGGTTGAGGCCGCAGCGTCCTGCTTGGGGGACAGTTCAGCCACCCTCTGCCCGAACGTGGAAATGTGTAGACAGGTGTGGTTTGTGCACAGGTGCAGGATTATTCCAGGCAAGTCCCCTTGCCTTGCATTTTCTCAGGATGTGCATTTTAGTGATGTTATTGGAGTCTGCATATCTTTTCAGTAGCTCCTTTGAAATGGCCACAGACAGGTCAGGCCACGGTGTTTGTTTCCCGACGTTGAATTGCAGAGAAAACGCAGCGACATGCCCATTCTTCAAGTTCACGCTTTCACGAGGACTCAGGTTAACCCAAGGGCGAAGCCTTTTTCCTTTGAGCTCTTCTCCTGATGTGAAAACTCCTTAATTTTACCCATTCCGTAGGCTGACAGCTCTTCCGCAACCTGCCACATACAAGTATTGTCTTACTGATTGTGGTTCAGTCTCTCCTACATTGCTTTACAAAATAATAAGTTTAGTTTTTAAAATTATTTAAAGTTTCAGAAACCTTAATTTAAAATAAAATTAGAGTTTATTTAATCAGATAACTCTTGATATAATAATACTCTTTTTTTACTCTGAAACCTTTAATTCCTTTTTTTCATAGATGCTACTCATTTTTTTGACATTTCATTTCAGGATTTGGGCTATTTGGATGTGGTTGACAGATACTGAGGAATAGAGGTGCAGTAGAGCCACGGAGAGTTTGTGCATTTCTTTCCAGATACCTTGGAATTAAGTTTGCAAAGCGTGTAATTTCAGGTTACCCAGCTACTGTTGTTTCAGCAACATACAGGTTATCTGGAAAGAAAAAAAAATCCTCTCTTGATGCTGGCATCCTAAAAGTTCTATTTTCATGTGGAAATGCATATGGTTTATTAAAGAAAACACATAGGCAGCTCCCCTTAAGTCTTGTCGAATTTTCCTCTGACCATGCACATGGGTTGTACGTGAATTCTGTTTCTCGCATCGGTTCCAGAGGAGGCTGGGGGACAGGGTCTCGGGCCCCAAGTCTGGGTCAGCGCAGGTCCCAGTCGTGGGTCATGCGTCATGCCTCACACGTGGGCTTGTTTTGAGGTTTAGATGAGTCCCTGAGTATAGAGGAGCATGTCTGATATGAAAGAAATGCTCAGTCACTTGTAGTCATTATGAATTCGAATAAGTAATAAAATATAACTCAGTCACTACTGAGACTTGTTAATAAGTATAACCATTTTATGAACATTAACATTTATAACATTAACCAGGCATATACATGAATCGGTATTTAACAAACGTGTCTGGACTTCACAAAGACTAGTTAGCAAGAAGGGGCATTTGTGTCCATTATAACGTGATTGTGCTGCAAACCCGACTCCTTTATCTTCACATAACCTCACATAACCTCTCCAGTGGAGGGGAGAGCGGGCGCAGGGACAAGGGCCTTCCAGGACCCTGAGTGGGAGATGGGTGAGTGCCCATTGCAGGGCTTTGGGCCACGTTTAGGTTTTATCCCCAGAGACGTGGAAGCCACTGGAGGTTTTTTAATTTTTTTTTTTTTTGGACAGAGTCTCATCTGTTGCGGGCTAGAGTGCCTGGCATCAGCCTACTCACAGCAACCTCAAACTCTTGGCTCAAGCAATCCTGCTGCCTCAGCCTCCCGAGTAGCTGGGACTACAGGCATGCGCCACCATGCCTGCCTAATTTTTTCTATATATATATATATTTTTAGTTGGTCAATTACTTTCTTTCTATTTTTAGTAGAGATGGAGTCTCGCTCAGGCTGGTTTTGAACTCCTGACCTGGAGCAATCCGCCCGCCTCGGCTTCCCAGAGTGCCAGGATTACAGGCGCGAGCCACCTCGCCCGGCCCACTGGTGGGTTTTTAATAGCTCACTTTGCACCACGGAGAAGACGGCCCAGGGGATGATCCGAGTGGGCAGCGTGGGTGGGTGCTGGGGATGGGCGGACGGCGGGTCCCGCAGCCTGGACCGGGGCTGGCCAGGGTGTGTGTTCAAACCGCGTCGTTGTATGTGACGACGTTGAGATGTTTTTGGATTCCTGCTTGGCAGGACCTGATGCTGTTAAACTTGGGGGGCTTCATGCCCTTCATGCCCTTCTCACCCTCCTTTTAGTTCATTTTATAAAAATAAGTACAGGTAAAGGACTCTAAAAATACCATGCAGGGAATACGGGAGCAGGAGATGCTTATATTTGTACTTTATTGACATGGGATATTGGAGATTAAAGGCACAATTGATTTGAGGCAGAAAATCAATGTTGTTGAAAGTCAGAAAAGTTCCTTGTATTTTTGAGATGGAGCAGTCACGGTTGATTTTCGGAACATCACGGAACTTACTGACCCGTGTGTTTGCTCTGCGGGTTGCTCACCCCGTGCCCTGCCCCGAGCCTCACGCTGTGCCCCACCGTACAACCCGCCTACTCCTCACCCCCCTGCCCGGCTGGTCTCCGCGTCTCCTGTCCATCTTCCTCAAGGCAGGACTCACCTGTGTCTTCGGTTCCGCTTTCTCTGGCTTTCCCACTCTGACAGCATCACGCGTTCTGCGTCCGCAGTTGTCAGAACACAAACTCTACCTCTCTCTCTTATTATAGCTACTTGGATGTTGATTTTGTCACGTGTAATTTAATAAAACCTTTATATAATGTGCAGTGTCTCTACTATATTATGTGTAATTTCATCTGTTGGACTTTGATGCCCTTAACCACTTCGGTACCAGCCTCGACTATGGACGACAGCCACAGATGAACGCGAGCGTCGACTCTAGCCGACAGCCGTGGTACGAAGGCGCACGGCCGGGCGTCGACTTTAGCCGACAGCCAAATGCTTTTGCTTTAATCCCTGCAGTTGCGGTGTGTACGTTCAGCTATTACGTTGCTACGAATCTGTGACCTTTCAACAAGTCCTCGGTAGGAGCTATTATAGTCATTTTCCTAAAGCTGCCTGTAAAGTAAAACAAGCTCTCAGAGCTTTCAAGCTTTCCTCATCACACAAGAGCGAAACGGACGCGTCGTCAATGCACAGCACAGACCACCGTGTGGACTGTGAGTGCCGGCTGCGGGCGAGGTGTCGTGGCCAGTGAGCGCCACACCGAAGTGGCTAAAACTGGGGACTGTGATGCTTCCGAGGACCCAGCTCAGGGCCTGGTGTCGCAGGAGACCCACGAATGTGATCAGGGTGGGCCCCACCCACGGGGGGCCAGAGAGAAGGGTCCAAAAATGCTGAGAGAGACACAGACAGGGACAGAGAGAGAGAGAGAGAGAGAGAGAGAGACCAAGAGGGGGAGAGAGACAGAGAGATAGAGAGGAGTAGAGAGACAGAGGCAGAGAGGGAGACAGAGAGAAGGAGGGAATTTCGAGAGTGGGGAGGCTGAAGGACAAGAAACCACTGGACAGTCTCAGCGCAAAGGAGAACTTTATTTGGAGGACTTAGCGTTCGTGCCACTGGGGCATGTACTCGGCACCACTTTGTAGAGCAGTGAGAAGCTGTGTTTTATTTTCCACACTAGTCAATGCTTGTTAATGACCGAATGACATTTATATTCGACTCTGGTCCATGTGTAGTTTCCTAAGAGCATTGCTGTGTTACGTGCATAGCCCACTGCTGGTTTTCCAATATTTAATCAGAGACTTATGAAACTGAAACAAACCTATGTTGAGGCCAAAGTGGGAAAAAAAAACGTTTTATATTTTGTGCAAATTTGTTAAGTCTTATTGAAAGGGGTTCTCTCTGCCTCTATGACAACAGCAAGTTTAGGTGAAAATACGCTGTGTGGAGTAGTTTCAAGCTTCACAAAGTTTTTCTCTTTATTTGCCGTCAGTATTCCAGGCACAGCCCTTGCGTGTCAGTCTGTGTGTCTGCTCAGGGAGACGGGGGAGGGGGCGTGCTAAGGGGCTTCTGGGATTCCGTGTTCTTGTCTGTGACTTAATGAAACATACGGATCAGATTTTCCGTTCCCTGTGATGAAATCCTCCATGGGGTGGAGGTCACATTTATATTCCACATTAGACCAGTTTCTCTCTCTGGGGAGTAACTGTTAGTGTGCTTAGCATCGGCACTCTGTGTGGGTCACCGGGCAACTGCCCATTGCTAAGTGTCAGCATTTCTCCACAACCGTGTGCAAACATGCACACGCACATACATGAGCACAGATTCTCATGCTCAGACTCACACACAAGCACACATGCACATGTACTCATATATAGATTCCATACCTACACCCATGGACACATATGTCCACACCGACACATACATGCACGCACATTCACACCTACTCACATGTGCACACACGTGAGTACACAAGTCTCATATGCACACACACATTCACACCTACTTGCATGTACACCCATGTGAGCACACAGGTACTCACACAGACACATTCATACCTACTTGCATGTACACACACGTGAGCACACAGGTATTCACATGCACACGTGTGCACACACACGTAAGCCATTTTAGTTGTTGCAAGCACTGTGCTTAAGCGATTGCCATAACAAAGCATAATGTCGCTGAGATTCCTCTTAATGCTTTTGCCACTTTTGCAACCCACAGCTGACCAGACAGGGATGTTGTTCGTAGGAGACGCTGTTCTACAGGTCAGTATCTAAACTTCAATCCTTAACTGTGTTTCACTTTTATTTTAAACTTATGTTAATCGATTATTATCCTCACAATTCTTAATTTGTCGTCTGTCCAGGTTAATGGCATTAATGTAGAAAGTGCAACCCACGAAGAAGTGGTAAGTGAATTACATTTACAGCTTTTGTTCTGTTTATTATTCTTTACTCATTTCTTTACGCTTCATTCATGCACTCATTCATTCATCGGTATTTATTTTTTCCATTCACCAACTTCTAGTTGCAAATAAGGGCAAACCGCCGAAAGTTATCTCATCTGCAAACGTTAAATTTCCGTGAAACCACGACATAGTACATGAATTCATTTGTAACTGAAGGAAGAATTGCTCCACACTTGATACTGTAATTCTTCTTCTCCTTCATTCGAGTTGAGTTCACTGGTCTTTAACATGTGCCGCACAGAGCAAAGATTCGCAGGTGGGAGGGACATGTCTCTTGGCCTTCAAGGTCTTGCAGTCCCAGGTTCTTGCCTGAGTAGACGAGTGTTCTCGTCTCTTTGCCTTCTGAACGTCACAATGCGTATGTTAGCTTTCTGATTTCTGCAAAAGTGCTTCGTAAGGGGATACACAGTAATCGCAAGAGAGGCAATGCCCACCTTAACAACTTTCACCCTAACCCAGAGAAAGTAAAGACATGCATGCAAGAAACAAGATTTTTAGTGAACAATATGCAAACCTTATAAATGGAGCTATTACAATATTTGACTGATATAAATTCACCTTTTTGAGCCAAATTATGCAATTGTATATCAACATTTTTAGGTGATGCAAAATAAACTACTATAGAACTGTTAATGGTATGTAATCTCAATTTTTCAGATTTGTAATGTTTATAAAAGTGTTAAATTTGTAAGAGACCGCATAACTCACATGGTTTTGCCCCCTCGTTTTTCAGAGTAAATTCTAGCTTTGATTAATTCTAGAAGAAAAATGTCAGGTCTCCTCAATGCACAGAATATTTTTAATGTAAAACTGAAGACTCACAGTCACGAAATCAATCTTAATCCTCCAAATACACACGGGTCAAAGGAGAGATCTTAAGAGAAATTTTTTAAAAAATATTTGATCTAAAGGAAAATAAAAACACAACGCATGGGAATTGGTGGGCTGCCGTGAAGGTGGGGCTCGGGGGCTGGGTGGGGAAGGAGGAAGGTCTGGAGTCAGTCGTGTGAGCACCACCCGGGAACTACCGCGTTTCCCCGACAACAAGACAGGGTCTTATATTTATTTTTCCTCAAGAAGACATCCTAGGGCTTATTTTCAGGGGATGTCTTACTTTTTTTTAAGTACGGTACAACCATCTACATTTATTCAAATAGAGTGAAGTCGTCTTCTTGTGGAACATCATCATCACTCTCCAAACCCCGAATCCCATCCTGAATTTCTTGTGACTCTGTTTCCTTCAGAACCATCAGCCCCAATCTCTCATGTCAAGCCATAGAGCTCTCATGGGGCAGATGAGAAGGGCTGCTCGTGTTCTTTCCCGCTCCGCGACGACATGCATGGGTTGTGCAGACGCGCTGCCCAGCCACACCCGTCACTAGGGCTTATTTTCAGGGTGGGGCTTCTATTGCGCACATGCTTAGACATCCTGCTAGGGCTTATTTCATGGCTAGGTCTTATTTTCAGGGAAATACGGTAGAGCCAGAAGACGGAGCCACAGTGAGGCCATGAGTCCCAGACAGCCGTGTCCCTGTGACACGCTGGCCTTTTAAACGTAAACTACCCAGAATGCCCAGGACGCCAGCGGTGCTGCACTGGCCACTGCTGGCCAGGACGTGGCAGGACAGTGGTGGCCTCTGTGGTTTGTCCCCAAGACACTACTCACATCCCGGGGCAAGGGCTCCCCAAGGACATGCAGGCAGGATCCCCGCCTTTGCTGGGGAAAGATCAGGTCGAGGCAACCTCGTCCTGTCCTGGACGCCACGGCCACGGCAGAGACAGCGTGGCCTTTTCCTAGGGGAGGGGGCAGGTTCAGACTGGCCATTCCCGCTCCAGGATCTTGTGCCGGGAGGGACGCGTCCCAGACCCCTCCAGCTGGGAGGCCCTGGCCTGGCCTTAGCGGACGTCCCGTGCCAGTCACTGCACCAGGGACTCGGGAAGACGGGTTTGCACGTGTGGAGACGGGCGTGGGCGAGGGGCTGGGAACACGTGGGTGAAACCGGGAGGCGTTTGTGTCGGACCCTTGGCTGTGGGGACCTTCGGATTTCTTTCATCCAGGCTTGGACGTCCCCCCCACTCCACCGAGCGTTGGGGCCGCTGTGCACGACCACGGCGTCCACGTGGGGTGATGGGCCTAGGGGGACCCCGGGAAGGAGGAGGGGGCAGAGGGGCTGCTGGGGGAGCGTGGGACCTGCCACGTGGCTGAAGCTCCACGTGGGAGGGGGTCGGTGATCACAGCCGTGGACACGCGGGGCACGGCCGCTGAGAATCCCGGTACCGCTCAGTCACGTTTACGTGAATAGCGGCAGGTGTGCTGTGCACAGAGAGCCCACGTCACATCCCAGAAGCGACGAGGTTCACGGGATTGCGTGTGAAGTGACTGCAGAAGGATGTTCTGACATGTCCAGGTGTTGCCCAGTAATTTTTTGAAAATCGAAATGTCATTTAAACGTTTAAATTTGTCCCTGTGGCGTATGGTGTCACAGTCCATCCACTGGGCACGCTTGGCCAGTTCTGAGAATTGGATATGCACATGGCGGGTGATCTCTCCTGGGGTTTTGCCCCCTGCTAGACCACACGCACGGGGTAGGGGGACAGCCCCGGCCGGGGGGGTCCTGGGGCAGACCCCTGGCGCCCACACGGCCATGCGGACGAAGTGCAGGGGCCGCGCACTTCGGGGCTTTGGGGCCGTCCCCTCGCTGCCCCAGGGCAAGCAGCGTCCGGCGTTCCGGGCAGTGCCGCACCTCGAATCCCCGGATACGGGGTGTGGGTGGGGGGATGTCGATTCCGGACGCCGTGCGTGGCCTCTTTGGTGGCGAAGCAGCTGTCGTCTGTCACCCGCAGGTGCATCTTCTGCGGAACGCCGGGGACGATGTCACCCTGGCCGTCAAGTACCTGAGCGAAGCACCTGCGTTTCTGAAGCTGCCGCTGGGTAAGTGGGGGAGGGGTCACGGGAGCAGAGCACAGTCCCCCCCCCAGCCGCGGTGTCTGTGCAAATCTGACGGGCATGACCAGTCTCCGAGCATGCGCCCGCCCGCCCTGGGGAGGGGAGACTGGGACGGGCCCTGCGGGACCACACGCGCCCCAGGCATCCACGCGGGACACACCCACGGACTCTAAGACAGCGCCACAGGGCTGCCACTTGCCAACTAGCCACTTGTCTTCCCCCAGACGAGCTCAGCGTGGCGTGCTTGTCCACACGGACACAGACACGCAGGGTTTATGCTTAAAATACCTACGTCCACCTGAGCTCCGAGGACCGAGGTGAGCAGGTGGCTACCGGGAGCCCCCGGCATCCTGACTCAACGCTCAGACCCCCTGTGACGCTGGAACCATGACAGTAGGAAAGCGACGGCCCCCACATCCAGAAAGACGTCTTAGTGAAAACAGTTCCCGTGACGTCTCCGAGTCCTGCCCAGCCGTCCTGTTTCTGAGTTGCGACGCCCTGAGGTTCCTGCGTGTGGCATGTGGCTCTCAGCCCTGTCACTGCGGTGCCGTCCCTGCAGTCAGGAAGGTCTTCAGGGCGGGGTCGGGCTCCCGGGAGCAGGTGCCACAGGTGACTCGAGCCCCGTGGGGTCTGATGTGGAGACGGGAGCTCCCCCCGGGTGTGGACGGCCAGGACCCGCTGTTCTCCGGACCCGCCTCTGTCCTTCCTTCCTCCCCTGTCCCGGGTCCGGCTGCTGCTCGGCCCCGACCGCGCCGGGCTCCAGGCCGGGTAAGAAGTCCCTGCGCCCACGTCCTACGCCTGCCGCCGTCTCCCTGGGGAGGCCCGTCTCCCGTCAGGCCGCCCCGGGACGACGGAGCTATGACCGATTTTAGAGAAGTCGCTGTTCCTAACGGTACCGCAAAAACGCGGCGACAAGGTTCCCCACCTGCCTGGCCGTCTTGGAAGAGCAGCACCTGCACGCACGGGCCGCCACGGGGCGGGAGGAACCTGTTCCCAGGGTCCAGAAAGTGGGAAGTGTCAGACATCAGGCGGGGAGCTCGCGGAAAAGCGATGCCATGCCTTGCGCCGCGGTGCGGCCCGTGGGTCTGGGGAGCGCGACTGTGCGTCTGGCGGGAGCAGGTGTGACGGAGCCGGCAGGGAACCGCCAGGTTCTTGGCCCCAAAGGCTCCTGAGTCCCAGGGCCCCAGCCAGGTGCCGGGTGCTGTTCGCAGGAGCAGATGCGCCGTTGCCACGGACCGCGGCACTGCGAAAACCCGAGGGCGCGGTCAGGCGCCAGAGACCCAGACCTTGTCCAGGCTCTGCCGCGGCTGTTTGGTGCAGAGCTTGCCGGCTGTGCCGGGGCCGGCTCCGCCAGCTCGCGGCCGGTCAGGCAGCTGGCGCTCGGGGCACAGGAGAGCCGCGTCCTCAGAATGCAGGGTCCACGTCCCGCCTCCGTTGATGCAACACGGTCCGTTCCTTTTGCAATTCTGTATCATCTAAAACTGTTAAATCTTGGCATCCACGAACAGTTAGGCACAGCAGCTGTGATCAGTTCATGGATTCAGGCCCCGCATCCTTTGGGGATTCGCCCCGGGTGGGCGGGATGCGGTTCCTGAGCAGAGGTTGG